CACTCTCAACGCCCACGACAGAATCCCGACTCCCAAACCCGCCGTCGGCAGATCCCAAATTCTCAAAATCCTCGAACAGGCGAAGAATTCGCCGGAATCTCATCAGATGGTGTGCCTCCACCGGCTTAAATCCATCGCCGGCAGGAACGAGATCAGCAGCAGGACGCACTTGCACGCGGCCGGAGCAGTCGAGTTTCTGACGTCGGTTCTGACGAAGAGCGACGCCGTCTCGAGAGACGAAGCGCTCTCGGTTCTGAATCAGATTGAGTTGTCGGATTCGGAGCTCAAGAAATTATCTTCGGAAAGTAGTTATTGTGGATTTATGACGTCATTAATGAAAGTATTGGAAACCGGAAACGACGAGTCTCGTGCGCAGGCGATCACGCTTTTAAAGTCCGTATTCGATGTGGCCGACCCGGAGAATCTGATTGGATCCAAACCCGAATTGTTCAAACAAATAACCCGGATTCTCAAAGACAAAATCTCACCGCAAGCGACGAAGTCCGCGTTAAAGCTTCTCGTGGAGCTCTGCCCGTGGGGGAGGAATCGGATCAAGGCGGCGGAAGGCGGCGCAGTGACGGCTCTAGTCGAGATGCTTCTAGAAGTTTCCGAGAAAAGGGTTTGCGAGCTTGTTCTAACGATTTTGGATCAGCTCTGCGGCTGCGCGGAAGGAAGGGCGGAGTTTCTGAGGCACGCCGCGGGAGTGGCGGTTGTTTCAAAGAAGATTCTTAGGGTTTCGCGGGTGGCGAGCGAGAGAGGGGTGAGGATATTATGCTCGATATCGAAGCATAGTTCGGGGAACACGAAGGTTGTCGGAGAAATGATGGAAGTCGGGGTTGTGACGAAGCTGTGTCTTGTTGTGCAAGTAGAGAGAAGTGGGAAGATGAAGGAGAGGGCTAAGGAGATTCTAAGGAATCATTCTAGGGTTTGGAAAGATTCTTCTTGCATTCCACCTCATTTGCTCTCTTCTTATCCATCACCTTCTTGATTCTATTTTTTGTTGGGATTTTTTGAATGGAATGGATTTCTTGATGTAAAATTGCATGCTTTTTGGAAAGAAAAAAAAAATCAAATTAAAATTGTAAAAAGAGTTTGTTCATATGTATGTTAGAGGAAACTTCTTCGGGGGTTTTTGTTTCGTGTCTTGATCAGATTGCTCGATAAATCGAAAAAATACATAAATGCATGCAATTGTTGACGTAGAGACATGGCTCGATACTATGTTCTTACTAAAGTTAACAAGTTCAGATTCTTTGTAGAAGAAAAAAAATAGTCGAAACATGATTTTAAGTATATAGTAAAACCTCGATAAATTAATAGCGTCGTTGAAATAATAGTTTTACCTTTCTCCGGTAAAGGACAATGTGGTAAAAAAATATTGCGCTAAAATATTTGAATTTAATTGGTCCAAAGTATATTAATTTATTACTGAGTATTTTATTTGTCAAGATAGATGGACAGAATAGTTAAATAATTAATTGGAAATTAATTAATTAATAAATGGTCTGCTATTGTGGACTGTTGGCTAGACTAGAACAATGGGACCAACTACAAGTTGGTATTGAAACTAATTCAAAGGTGGACTGGATTAGTTCTCGAAATCCGACTAGTATCTGCCAATTTAAACTACATTAATTGTCATGAAATATATTTATATTGAATAATTTTTTGACATTTAATTTACATTTGGTCACACAATTATTTATTATATATAAATGTCCGAATGACATGTATATTTTGCTTGCTTCAAGAGGATAGAATGCATTTTTTAATTTAAATCGGGAGACAACTTTTACAAATATTTTAAGAAATAATATAATGTAATAGTTTTATTTTTTGACAACTTCAATGAGATATTTTTCTTCATTATATGCTGTATAAATAATTAAAGAAAATCATTAAAAAATGATTGGTAATTCTTCAAATTAAATAAAATGGCGGTTGCTTGCATGCAGTAATTAATGAATTAGGAGATCACTACTACTGTACATGTTACGTTGGCGGTCTTCTTCCGGCAACATATTATTTTTTTTTTGCATAATATATAATGAAATATTGTCAAGTCCACGAAAGTTGGAGTTTCTAATAATCTAGATATTTCTTTGCAATTTAATTATTAGTTTATTAACTCGTACATTTATGTAGCACCGGCAGGAAACGGCGATACGGGGAAACAGTATGTCCTAAAAATGGGATACGAGGTCTTGGGGGAAATATGTAAATATTAAAAGTATAAGGGTGGATTTATAAATACGTTGTATAAACATATTATTTAGATGTAATTTACATGTTTACATACAAATATATCCCAAATAAATATTATATTATTATCATCTATTAATATGAAATTGATCATTAA